CGAGTTACCCAAAAAAACTCTGAGGCAATTTCGAAGAGCATGAAATTCCCCACAAGTTCTGATTTGCATTATTGTAAAAGGTGGGTAAGCATTAGAAATTAAAAAAAAAAAATTACACGCATATTAAATGGTAAAACTTTAAATTTAAATAGTAAGTACTTAAAATTAATGTTAAGAGCTCAAACTTGGTAAGAATTTTTTTTGTATATATAGATTAATATTTTGCTTGAGCACCGAAAAAAAAAACTTGAATCACCCTAATATCCATTTTTAAATGTGAATATCTCGAAAACCAATCACTTTATGAGTTTTAAATAAGAGTACATGATTTACTTAAAAAACATCAAAAAATGTAAAACTGTATTTCAAATAAGTGTTTGGACAGTGGTTTAACATTTATAGGGGATGAAGGTGTTACTTATCCGTGCCGTATGCCACTGGTAAAATTTATTTAACTAATTGATTTGCTGATTGGTGTATCTTATTACACTAAACATATTTACCGAATTTAGTAAAATTATATATAGAAAAAAAATTATAGCCATCAAAAATATTTGAATTTTCAACTTTAACACCCTATATTTCGGAAACCAGTAATATTTTGTCTAAGCATGTTTCGTTTAATCGTCCTATTTTTAATCAGAAAATCTTCAGTTGTTCTGTGTCCCATTCTTAATGAGACCCTGCAATATTACAAAAATTATACTTTTTTAACTTCAAAACCCTGTACCTCAAAAAAAAGTAATCATGTGATTTAAGTGGGTACATAACATTCGACGGAAAACTAATTCGTATAAAAAAAGCATGATGTCCTTTCGAAAAATTATTAGATTTCATTAGGATCAGGATCAGGAATGGTCTAACAACTATCCATGATTGAGACAGACCAAGGAGTTCTTTAAGGAACCGTCGGCCAAGTTCACGAAAGACCTACTGGATTAAAAACGAGAAATCGTTAGAATAACAGTAGGTCTTCTTACCGGATACTGTCGCCTAAGAAGGCACATGCGTATTATCAATCCAGTAGAAAAAGCAAAATTGTACAGATTCTGTGAAGAAGAATAGAAAACATCAATCCACGTCATGTGTCAGTATGAAGGCCTGGCTAGATTGAGGTTTCTAACACTAGGTGAAGAAAAGCCAGACGCATGTAACTACAGGCGGGGGCCACTATCAAAGTTGCAAGTCTCAAGGTAGGCTCGATGCCAAATTTTCGAAGGGGATCCATTGCCATTAGTCATCCCCTTTTTAGCATATTTTCTTTAATAAAAATCTCATGGATTATAACAATTTAATCTCGGAGGAGCTGCCCTTGCTAAGTCTAATAAAAAAGGATCAAGCTAGACGACATATTCTATATATAACGGAGTTCCACATAAGAAATTTAATTTCTTAAATAATGGGATTTCTTTTGTACAACACTGGTTACATCAAATAATGCTCAACATCTTTATATAACTTTATATAACATCTATCAACATTGCAATTTACTTACATATACATATATACATTCAGCAACTTTTGTGAAATAAAGCGTGACATGAAAGGTTCTAATCCAGTGATTATACCTTATAAGTTCTAGTCAACACTAGATTATTGATTAGTTACTCGATACATACAGTGATGTCCTAAAGTGACGGATAAATTAATTTCATTTGCGACCTTATTAATAATTTGAAGAGAAAATCCTGAAACAAGTTGATTTTTAATTTTGAATTAAACATTTTTGACGTAACAACTTTACCCTTCAGGTTCACCTTTCATTTTTTTAAATAACACGAGTGGGAATATGACAACTCATTTTAAATGGTTCTTAATTATCTATTAATTGCCCTAGTAGGTTTTAATTTTTGGATGTTTCTTTACAAAAAAAAAATGAAAATGCATTTTAATATCTTTAACACAAATTTAAATGAAAATAATTTAGATCCTGTGCACAAATTGGGTACCATTCATTTCTTGACAATAAAAAAGACGTTGAAATTATTGGAAAACATTATAAACATTTCTAGGGTGATTTGTTTAATTTCACGACTTATTCTGGTTTTTAAATCATCTACACGGAAAAAAAATTGTAGAACAAATTTCTACAATTGTAGATTTTTTCTCTACAATAAATAGTACATATAGGGACAGGGACAATTTGTAGTAAAAATTTCCAAATATTTGTGGAGAATGTATTGTAGAGTTATTATCTACAATATTTAGTAAAAAAATCCAAATGCATCATAAAAATTGTTCTATAAATTGTTATAATTTTTGCTATTCATTGTATGAATTTATATTAAAAATATATTGCGTTTTATGAAAATAAATACGAAAATTTTACACAATAAATAGTAAAAATTTATACAAATTGTAGTAATTTTTAATAAAATTTGTAGTGGTATTCCATAATTATTATAATTATAACCTAGAAAAAAACGTTCCTTAATAAAATATTCAATTTATTGTTTTAATATAAAAGATACAAATTCTTAATTACATTATGTAATAAATAACAGTAATAATAGCGCCCTCAGTCTCAGTTGGCTTTTCTGCACCTGAAAAATATGAAATAAAAATTAATACCAATTGAATTGTTCATACCCTTAAAACGGGGATATTTATCACCTTTACACTGATTTGGATATTAAATGACTAAGTCAGATAACTAACAAACATGAGAAAGTAGGTATGTTACAATTAAGACAAAAAACATCATTGAACTTGGCACAAAATCGATCGTTGGGCACAACATTCGATTGTTGGCCACAACTATTTTTTTAAAATAATCTACTAAGGTTATTTAAATTAGTTATCTAAAGGTAAATTATTCAGAAACAATAATAAATGTACTTACCACCAATAGAATTTATTATTAAAATTTTCTCAAACGCATCGGTGCTTATAATATAATAATGTGTTATAGGTACTCGTATATGTACCATGCTTTATGTGAACATGGCGAATGGCTACTGCTGTCTGGCCGTTTATGATCGACGTCAGAAAACGTTGGCCAATAGCAGAATTCTGTTTTGTTCACATGACTTAGAATTTCTACAATATTATAGAATATTTTTGAAGAAGGGATGTAAAGTATTACTATTTTTTGTAGAGAAAATTACTATTTTTTGTAGAGATAATTATTAATATTTGTACAAATTTTTACAGAAGTTAGTAGTAGTAATTACGATAATTGTAATAAATTTCTACTTCTACAAACAATAGTAAAATATACTAAACATTGTGGACTTCTTTCCTATTGTTGTAGCATTTTATTCGACAATTCAATTGCTACAATAATTAATAGTTTTTAACTATAAATTGTAGTAAAATTTTCTACAAATTGTTAAGTATTTTTCTACAAGTCTACTACTACAACATTGTAGTAAAATTTTCTAGTCACATTTTTTTCCGTGTATGTTGGGTCTGTTGAAGTAGACTTTTGATTTTAAATAACCCTATTAGAAATAATCCAATGAGGTCATGTCTGGGGAACGAGAAAGCCATTCAATTGCACCGCGTTGATCAATCCATCTACTTGGAAAAAATTGATTAAGATAAGCTCTTACTGCTGCTACATAATGTGGTGTAGGTAACTCTATGTTGCTGATATCATACCATACGTTTCTATTTATTTCGTTCGGATCAACATCATCAGCAAAGTTTTTGGTACTAAATTTTGTAAATCTAAATAATGCTCCCCAGTCAACGTTTCGTCAAAGAAATATGGCCCGACAATTTGATCATTTAATATTCTATCCCAAACGTTTAATTTAATAGGATATTGAGTGTGGCCTTCCACCATCTAATGTGGATTTTGTCGACTCTACTAGCGACAGCTGAGTGTTCCACGTAAAGTAAAAGTTGCCTCGTCAGAAAAAATTATATTTTTTTAAAATACCAGATTTTATTGGCATCTATTTATCATGATCTTGCAAAATTCCAATCAACGATCACGATCATCTTCATTTAGTTCCTGCACCAATTGAATTTTATATGGTCGGTATTTTTCTTTTTCAAAACAAGTAAAACAGTCAGCTTCAATTTGAGTAGTACGTTTATGTGGATTATCATCAATATTTAATAATATGTCCAATTTAATCTCGTCGTTCAATTCTGTTCTATCACTTTTATGAAAATATTTAACTGTTCCATACTGGCGGAATTGTTTTTCTTCTCTACTCACTGTAGACTGAGAAATATGACGGTTAGGATATTTGTTTAATATTCTACGTACTTCATTATGTGTTCTTGTTTTATCACCAACTCCTTTTATTATGCTCTGAATTATTTTCGTTTAAAGATATGTTAAAAATATTAAAATAGATTTAGCATTTTTTTGATATGATATGTCTAAAAATTAAATTACACTAGGTTGCTAAATAGAGAATTAAAAACTCTTTAAAATAAGGTATCATATGTCCCCTCGTTTCATTTAAAAAAATTAGAGGGGTAGTTGCCCCACCGAGAGGAGTATCCTGAAGTTAAAGTTGTTACATCAAAAAAAATTTGAATTTAAAATTAAAAATAACCTGTTTCAGGATTTTCTCTTCAAATCATTAATAAGGTCGCAAATGAATTTATTCGTCACGTTAGGACCTTACTTTATGTTTATGTAGATACAATTTAAAATGTTTAACTTTTAACTGGTCCGGCACTTTGCAATAACATAACTGGTCCGACGTAGTCTGTGTGAATACTTGTTTTCGGAGGGCAAAAAAAAAATAAAATAGGCCAAATGAAATGTTTTATTTAACATAGATGTTAAAAACATTACTTAATAATAATAATAATATTATGTAAAAATAAACACATTTAAAACTAAATAAAAACAAAATTAAACCCAAAACTAAAACCCGCACAGAAATTTTGAAAAAGTACATATTTTTAAACGAAAAGCAAAAAATACAAGAAAAAAAAGAAAAATTTTTTCATATTGCAATATTAAATTGTGAAAGTGTTAGGTAAACAAAAACTTACATAAAATACAAATTTAAAAAACATTTGATTTTCAGCATGAGCTAAAGTTCACTACTCTTGAACTAATTTCTGCCACAGCTTTTAGGAAACTGACGCCAGCCTGTCGCAAACATGGCTACCTGTCGAGCTACAATAGGGAAAAGATTAGATGTAAGGACCTTCCTGTGGGAGGTACCAATAACCAATAAGAAAGAATTGTTTATATCGCGTAGTCTGTCAGACGACACCGGACCAGTTAAGGGTTAAATTTAAATTAATCCATGAACTAGGTCAAATGTTCGAATACGATTGGTGTAATCGAATAACTTCATTGCTGGGTGGTTAGGGTGTATTTCAAATCTCTTTTTTGACAATAGACACCTTCATATCTCCATAGATTATCACGTTCGAAACAGACCAAGACTCGTAGGCAAATTTTCTCAGTAACTTTCTTGTTGTTTGCGATATCCCTAGCTGCAAATTGGTTTAATTTCGAGTAATACGGCCTTAGCCAGGTCGCTAGCCGACTGCAAAAGGCAATTAAAACCCCAATCACAGGCGCAGTAAACTGAACCGGCCACGATCTGAATGAGTGACTGAATTCGCAGAGCTAGGGTTCCATTTAGACGGTGGAATGTATGGTTAGAATACAAGACTTGATTGAGTGGGATAGTTCAATAAGCCCGTGAGAGTCCCCATGCCAAAGAGGAGGGAATAACAGGCTGGAATCCAATCCTGATTGAGGGAAGCGAGTGGCTGGACCAAAGCCTGATTGGGGAAGCTTGCCGAAATCCCTCAGGGAGAAAGGCCTCATAAAGTAATAATGTTTGGTCTATATTATGTGTTTTTATACCATGTTATTTTCTTTTAATCCAGAAAAGTTTTCTGCGGTTCAGATTATTTCAAGATTCATCAGCACCAGTCTATATGAATAGACTATAGTTTATTTGAAAATGCATGATAGCACAGTTTTTATGGCAAAAGTCTATAATATACAGGATTGTTCAAAGCAGAAAAAAGTAAATATTGATACCTTCTTATCTGAATTTTGACTAAATTTTAGTATGCCCAATCCGAAAAATCTCGAATACAATACATCATAAAATGTAAATGAGCAAACCCTAAGGGACTAACCAATAAATTATACACCTCAGTGACGGAGAACACGAAATTATTTTAATATAAAAAATAGTAAACTGTCAATATTAAGTACCCACATTTATTTTTATAAAATTTATATGATATACTAAATAACAATCTTTGCAAAAAATCTTTTCTCACAAAACACTTCGTTTTTAGAAATAAGTTGTGATTCCATATAAATGTGTTTATTTGTATTTCGGGTACTAGCGTCATTGCGTCATTAATATAAGTATAGAGTTACATACCTAAATAAATAAGTCGTTTTCTCACTTCCCACAGAAATAATAATTGGTTCTATTGTTTCCTCTATTAACATATCAAGTTTCCAGAATTTCTCTTCCTCTGCTATGACATGTCTTATAGCGTTTTGCCAATTGTCCGATAAAATGTTTGATATGGAGTCACATAATAGTTGACGAACATTAGTTCAATAGGATTAAGTGCACAGTGATAAGGTGGTAACCGCAACACTTCATGTCCTTTTGCTTTTTCATCTACACTATACTTCTTAAATTTTGATGAATGTTGTTTACATAATTGCAATAGCTCTTTTTGAATAATCCCTCTTCTTCCACTATTTCTTTGGTTATTAGCCATTCGGAGAGTTCTTGCTTTTTCCATTTAGTGTTACGCAACGGTTCCTTTAATCTTGAATGGTAACTGGCATTGTCCATAACTATTACAGAATTGATCGGTAATAAATTTATCATTTGACTGAAATTTTCCTCAAAAATATCAGCAGTCATTTCTTCATGGTAGTCTTTGGTAGAATTTGATTCCACTTATAACAAGCCTTTATCAACAAATCCTTTATATCCTCCAATGGGGTCTATTCTGTAACAATTCCTTTATATTTAACGGCCTTTAAAAATATTGGCGGCCTTTAAAAGTATATTTGTATTCGTTAATTTACTTCTGTCATTATTTAAACAGATTTTTTTAAGATAATCAGCTAATGTATGTTAAAGATCCGTTTAAATAATGACAGAAGTAGAGAAGAAAATATTTTTAAAGGCCGTTAAATATAAGGGAATTTTTACAGAATAGACCCCATTATGAGTGATAATTGAACGGCGACCTTTACTATTTGAAAATTTTAAGCCAGTAAACAAACCTTCTATAAATGCCTGACGAGCATTTGTAACATGTTTATCTTGCCAAAGTTTTGTTTACAAAATGTCCTTCATTTATCCATGTTTCATCCAAATAAAAAATATTTTTGTCTTCTATTCTAATTTCCCTTAAATATTGCCTCCTCCAACAAATAATTTCATCTTCCTCTATGAGCGCAGATTTTCTATCGTTCTTTTTCCAAACGAAGTCTAATTCATGTAAAGTTTTCCACAATATGTCTCTTTTAGGCAAGGCGCAAATTGAGACACGTATAGCACGTGTGAGGTGACGTGACACGAGAGACACGACTCGTACGTGCTACATGTGCTGCGTGGTGATCCGCATATTGAGACACACGGTTTCAAATAGGAAACGGCGGGGTTTGGATTTGATTGGACATTTTTGACAAACAAACGAAACAATGTCTGGTATCTATGGTCTGGTATTATTGAACTCAAGTTCTGAAACAGAATCGGATGATACTGAAGAGGAAATGTTGTTTTATTCCTTGATGAAAAAGAAATTTAAATCCCTTAATAAATTTATTCTGTCGAAGAGAAAAAACAGTGGACAATTTACAATTACAACTAAAATAAGTGATGCTGATTTTACTAATTATTTCCGAATGAATCGGAACCAGTGTGCTGAAGTACATGAGATGATCCGACAAGGCATCACCCCAAATCCGATTTTTTCAGTAACTCAAAGCCATTTCTTAAATCCCAGTGACATTACTACAGGGGATATATTGTGGATGCAATGGCGAGTAATCATCCTGATACCTAACTCGAAATTGTCTGTCGGTTGAGTATGATTTAAGAAATAAATAAAACTCTTGCGAAATTTTATTTTTTAATTTATATAGCACACCTTATCTTGGCTTCGAGGTCTCTTCTAATTTTATCTACCACTGGATGCACCTGTTCAGCAATCATTATGATAAATTTTATTTTGAAAATAATTCAATGAATTGACTTCATTTTGTTTTGACACTCATATCAATAGTTGTCATTACGACACTTGTTTTACAATAAAATCATATTAAGGAAGCAACTAGATTCCATTACTTTTTGCAAATAATTTTGTAATATTAAAATTATAATTTTTCTGCGATGTTTTGTTTTTATTAATATTCTTTAACGTTATTTATTCAGTATAGCAGATAGGTAACAATCTGTCCTAAAATAAATCGGATTATCATAGACTTACCTCTATATAACTTACAATTTTAGCTTTGGCTAACTTGTTGACATTATGAATTTCTCTTAGCACTTAATTTAATGGTTATTTATTTTCATTTCCATATTTATTTAATTTAAAAAAATATTTTATGAAGGTCCTCAGCCATTAACTAATTAAAATAAACTCCAAGAAAATATATTTTTTTGCTACAGCCAAGTGCCAAATTATTTATTAAGTGTTATATAAATCTGGTGAACTTGAAAATTGGCCAAAACTTTCGTGACAGCAAGTGACTCAAGACGTTTCGAAATTTTCGCGTGTATCTAATTAAGTATATTCAATTTTTTAGTGGAAAACAATTTTACGGAAGTTTATAGAATTGTAAATCATGAATGACCAACTGTCGGACGTTTAATATTTTTTTTTTTTTTCGTAAAATATTTGTGAAAATGTGCGGCTGTTGTGGATGTAAAAGTACAGCTCCTATCACTGCTCCTATCAATTTTAATAATCAGTCGGATGTTTATAACTACAAAGTAAGTCTCAGAACAAATATTTTCTCACAAAAAAATTTTCAAAATTTCAATTCGAAAGCCAAAATTGTAAAAAAAATTTTTTTGCCATTTTCTTTTTTTTTTTCTCTAAAAATTTCTGTTTATTTTTAATTTTTTTTGCAATTTTCAGTTTTTTTATTGGAATTTTTCATAAAAAAATATTTTTTTAATACAAATTTTCCGTATATGTATATTTAGATATAAGGTGATGTGAAACCACATTACCCCCGAAATGAATACTATATTATTTTTTAAAATAACAAAATTCTAGCCTCAAATGTGTCACAAAATGATACGAGCGATCATTTCCCTACAGAAAACACTTCTTTGGATAATACCACAACAGGCCTTGGGTTATATCCAAAACAGAAGATGGAATAATATATTACATTATGAGTATGAAAAATCACTTTCACGCAAGTTATGTACAATATTTTTCTACGACTACAAAAAATGATAATTCAGGAAATCTGGCTATAAAGGTTCTTTCCGTCAAGATGTGGCTGGTTTTAGATTTCTTTTTTTATATATCCTACTAGCTGTTACCCGCGGCTTTGCACGCATGGAGCCGTGTTTTTAATACAAAAAAATGAACGACTTTCCAAAAAAAAGGAGCCATATGTTTTTTAGGTTTCTTGGTATGTATCTGTATATTCAAATATTTAAGTATATTAATCTAATTAAGAATCTCTTTGCATACCACATTTTGAGTACTGTTCTCATCTGCTAATATCACCATATTGCATGCGAAACTCACTCTCTAACAGGGCTGCTATTTTCTAACTCATACGAGTGACTTTCGCATACGGAATCTTGGCGTTTTCGTATGAAATGCATTAAACTGTATTTTGAAGGAATCGAAAAATATCCGTATGCGAAATTTTTCTACGGAAATACATCGCATGGTCAAAGGGATACGAATTAATGCATCCGTATACTAAATTCAACTGATTCGTACGTGATTAAGTTAATATATGCTACAAATAAATGACAAAAAAGCGGTTCTTGAATTAAAAGCGAAATATTTAACAATATGATTAATTTAGCAGCATTTGAAGAAGTTGAAATATTATCTAATATACATTAGAACTAAGGAGAAGATGACTCCAAGAATTAGACAATTATTTTGAAGCAAGAAGAAATATTTAACCTGCAGAATGTGTAACAGAAAATAATAATTTTTTGCTTGATAACCTAGCTTTAGGTACATGTTTTTTTATTTGGTGTCATTGGCATTTGCTACTTAGGTTATTAGCCTCGTGTTCTATGTAGGCTTTGTTACTGTTTTCCAACACCACTTTCGAAATAGCACTGTTAATTAAAACCCAACAGTGGATGATTGAGTGGGGAATCCTGCCTGTACATTGGTATTAATCTTTAATGAAGTTAAATAAAAATCCCGTCACCAGCGGAATTCGAACCCGGGACCTTTGGATCCGAAAGTCCAGACTACAACCACTGAGCCACCCACCCCCTGGTTAAATATTAATACGAATTTAGTTAAACTAAGGCTTACGTATATCGCCCTTTATGCGATACAGTAAACATTTATAGCTTATTTGATTTTCCCACGTCAAAAATACCGACTTTTACGTTTATGCGAGAGAAATTAATTGAAATATGACATTAATGAATTATTTTTATAACTGTAACACCCTGTATTTCAGTAAATATTAATATTTGACCCCGTTATTAGATAAAATAAAAATATATTTTTATTTATATAATCTGTAGGTAAAATATTACCTACCTATTTTTTTTATCAATTATCCTCTATAAACGGTCCCATAAATAATATACTTATTGGCTTATATTAGCTTAGAACATTTTATTAAACCTAAATACTTTAGGTTTGAGTTACCTAATGCTATATTGGCCAAAATAAAAGCCGTTGAACAAGCGAAAATTTTGCAAAAATTACATTCAAACATCCTAAAATAAAATACGTGAAATAATAAAGAGGTCAATACAGATAACTTTTCTAGTGCTCAAAATAATGACAGTTAACCATTTATATATAATAAAATGTCATTAGCGGCAACAATACAGACAAATATTGAACATTAAAAGCATCCCTTACGATTTGCAAAAATTTTCACCTTGTAATTTCTTTATTGTTGTGGTATAACTGTATTTATTCCAGCGTTGCCGACGCTAGTCATCCGATTAAAGTTATACGAGACGAATGGCTTATCGCATGGCATCCAAAATACCAAAAACATTTTTCATACGAAAAAAATTCGTATACGAGTACTCGAATACGAATATGTTCGCATAAGTCAGAAAATAGCAGCCCTGGTCACATAAAACTGTCCGTGAGAAAAAAAGTCCTCCCTTAGGCTGTCGGGGTGTCGTCACATCGAGATGTTTTTATTAATTCAATTCTCATATTTTTCATACCAGAGCGTCATGAGTTCCACTTATTTGTTTATAATAATTTTATTATTAATTTTTATTTATTTTTATTTATTTTTATTTATTTTTATTTATTTTTATTTATTTTTATTTATTTTTATTTTTATTTATTTTTATTTATTTTTATTTATTTTTATTTATTTTTATTTATTTTTATTTATTTTTATTTATTTTTATTTATTTTTATTTTTTTTTATTTATTTTTTTTTATTTTTATTTATTTTTATTTATTTTTATTTATTTTTATTTATTTTTATTTATTTTTATTTATTTTTATTTATTTTTATTTATTTTTATTTATTTTTATTTATTTTTATTTATTTTTATTTATTTTTATTTATTTTTATTTATTTTTATTTATTTTTATTTATTTTTATTTATTTTTATTTATTTTTATTTATTTTTATTTATTTTTATTTATTTTTATTTATTTTTATTTATTTTTATTTATTTTTATTTATTTTTATTTATTTTTATTTATTTTTATTTATTTTTATTTATTTTTATTTATTTTTATTTATTTTTATTTATTTTTATTTATTTTTATTTATTTTTATTTATTTTTATTTATTTTTATTTATTTTTATTTATTTTTATTTATTTTTATTTATTTTTATTTATTTTTATTTATTTTTATTTATTTTTATTTATTTTTATTTATTTTTATTTATTTTTATTTATTTTTATTTATTTTTATTTATTTTTATTTATTTTTATTTATTTTTATTTATTTTTATTTATTTTTATTTATTTTTATTTATTTTTATTTATTTTTATTTATTTTTATTTATTTTTATTTATTTTTATTTATTTTTATTTATTTTTATTTATTTTTATTTATTTTTATTTATTTTTATTTATTTTTATTTATTTTTATTTATTTTTATTTATTTTTATTTATTTTTATTTATTTTTATTTATTTTTATTTATTTTTATTTATTTTTATTTATTTTTATTTATTTTTATTTATTTTTATTTATTTTTATTTATTTTTATTTATTTTTATTTATTTTTATTTATTTTTATTTATTTTTATTTATTTTTATTTATTTTTATTTATTTTTATTTATTTTTATTTATTTTTATTTATTTTTATTTATTTTTATTTATTTTTATTTATTTTTATTTATTTTTATTTATTTTTATTTATTTTTATTTATTTTTATTTATTTTTATTTATTTTTATTTATTTTTATTTATTTTTATTTAGTTTTATTTATTCATCAGAGTATCTTCCCATTAAAATGTGAAACCTTGAATTGGTCATTATTTATTTATTTATGAGTAGCTACAATTCCATTTTTTTTAATAATTTGTTAAAAAGAAATATCTGAGATCTGGATTTAAAAATTAATATTAACAGAATCATCAAATCGATTTTACTATTAGGACATTACATCAATCAAAACAGAAATTATGCATCTGACATATTTGACAGCTTATGCGGAAAGTAGATTCATATTCACAAACGGGTGGAAAGTAGATTCTTATCCACACGCGTGTGATATCGGACACTTCTCATGAGACTAAATAGTGCGATAGGTGTCACTTTCCTAAGTGGTCGTAGGAAAAATTATTTTCAACACTCTAGCTTTAATTTTGCTTACTAAGCAGAACGTCGTCATTAGACCCGTTTCGTCCTTATTAGGACTCGTTAGCAAGCCGTAGATATTACCTATCGTTTCCAATCTCTGATGGAAGCAGTAGAAGACATAACATTCACTTGTATATCTTTATATTTGTTGAGTGGAATTTTCAAGTTAAAAAGTAATCATATACTTAGCAAGGCAAAATCAAAGTTCACTTCCTGGAATAAAAGTTAGAGGGGTAATATAATCCAATGCTTGTTTGTTGTAGTGTTAGACAAAGGATTATTATTATGATACATGGCTTGGAGATTTTAATATTATATTTTCCTATTCGATAAGTAACTTCAAGAGAACTTCAGGAGATCCTTCTTCCATGATTTGGAGACCTCTACATTTTAATTAAATCTAAATTCTATAGCATCTACAGAGTGTTGCGACATTCGACCGATAACTCTCTACTGATGAAAGCTCTTGTTAATTGACAAAAGATATTGTTTAGATTGAACAAGACCTGATTATAATTTAAACCAGTGGTTCTCAAACTTTTTTGGTGACGGAACCTTTTTGAAAAGCGAAATATTTGACGGAGCCCAAAAAGGGCTTCGAGCCAGGTCCCTTCCATTTCTTCGAGGAGCCCCCACAAAAAAAATCCTCCAAGCCAAAATCATATCCTCTTTCCCCACTTGTTGACTTCTAAAACAAAAAAAAAGGTCCTGCAAGCAAAATCATATCCTCCTTCCTCTTGGTGACACTAACAAAAAGAGCTTCGAGCCAGGTCCCTTCCATTTCTCATTTCTACGCGGAGCCCCGACAAAAAAATCCTCTAAGCCAAAATCATATCCTCCTTCTCCACTTGGTGACATCTAAAAAAAGCTCCTCCAAACAAAATTATATCCTACTTCCCCACTTGGTGACTTCTAAAAAAAAGGTCCTCCATGCAAAATCATATCCTCCTTCCTCTTAGTGACTTCAAAAAA